CCAGGATCGCAACCAGCATCTCTCTTTTAATAGAGAGAAAAAGAGAGAGAGAGAGAGAGAGCCGACAAGCTGCTCTCGCGCGAGATCCCTTTCATGCTCATATTTTCTCCACGTGACCGTATATGGAAAAGGCCCATTACGAGCCCGGCCGGCACGGCACTTACAATTAGATACCCGACACGGTACCCCAGTGTAACTGCAGGAGACACAGTGTATTTCAAATTCGACCTGTAGATCGAACTCTTTATGAATTCCCTCGAAATATTTCCTTTTGTTTCGAAAATTGGAGCAGTTTTGTTCGTTCGATTATTTGCATTTACAGATCTGCTTTGCCCTCGATAACGTAGAACGTGTCCTATAATGTATAATGCGATACACCGGTATTGTCTGTGCTAGAAGGGTACAGCTATACCGAGAGACATGTGTACCGAGGTGTACCGAATCCTCGTAAGCGCAATAATTACTCGAAGGTGGTGCTCCCGTTATATCCACAGCTGGAAAGTTCCTTCGAGCGGAATGATAAACATATCTACAGTCCACAGCATCAATGAAGATCTTTAAGTGACGTGTGGGTGGGTCGTATTGACGATACTGAAAATCCCCGATGATCTTCAGGCATTGGGGGTACACACTTGTATCGTACTGCAGTACCTACACACATCTAAAGATATTCATCCCAACCAACGGCTTTAATGTTCTGACGTCCAGAGAATATAATTGACAGTGGTTATAATGATATTCCTATACATCCAGTCGGTTTACACTATACGCAATAGCGCGACTTACGAAGAACACCACGTTGTAAATGTGCAAAACATATTTGAGGAAGTTTACGGAACAGCAACCATCATCCTTCGTCCTGATCCTCGTGGAAGTTCCCGGAAGTCTCTCGGCTCCTTTGGCCATCTTCGCCCCTCCTCTTCGCGCTACAGTTTAGTCACCTGCCTCGAATCCAAATCGTACCGTCACCTTATCATGGTTCCTGCAAGCACAAAAGATAATATGCACATTATAACGCAATTGGAATACCCAATGGAATCCTGCTATGCTATACTTTTAAAGCGAAGCCTCTTCATTGTGTTAAAAAAAAAAGGATAACTGTTCACTGCAGTGTCGGATAATTAAGATCATGCAAATGAACTTATATAGGCGGGCAGATTTTATTTTCTTACTCTCGATCGTTGAAAGTATATGCAGTCTAGCTTGTTACACTCTAGATATTACACGTGGTTTGCTCCGGTAGGACAATGGCTACTATAGAGGGTGTGCCATTGTCCGAGAGTACAGGTAACGGAAAGTGCATTATGAAACAGACAGAAAATGGAGCAACATCGACACGGCGACAGCTTGAGTTATTGGTAAGAAGAAGAAGAATCGAAAAGATCGTGAGGAATAATTGTCAAGAATTAAAAAATGAACTATCCCCTCTGCTCCGTGCTCGTGGGTGAAACCCGTTACCAGTGTAGTTTGACTCTAGCATGCAGCTGGACGCATGGTCCAGCCCCTCGGTGACACCTTGACAAATTTTCGACTTTACCGCGAGAGAAACAAAAGAGAGGTGGCGCGTCGCGACGCTCTGTCTCGAGTCTCCCGCGCGTTACCGGGTCTCCCGCGTGCGTACGTCACTCCTCGAAGAAAGAGGTGACTGTCCGAACGAGAGAGCAGACAAAACAAAAAAAAGGTATCGAGAAAATAAAACGAAAAAAAAGAAAAACAAAAAGCGTATAGCCAGTAGAAAAAAATAACAGTCGACATCCAGACAGAATTGCGTAATGCATACCAGTCGCCCACGTGCGTGCCGTCGGTTGTACGTTGGTTAGTCCTACCTGGAAATACCATAGTCGGCAGTGACGTCATGTTCAGCTTATCCGTTTTAAAAAATATTATGCCATTAAGCAGAGGACTGGAGGACCAATAGAATGGCCCAGCAGAAGAAGAGTCTTCCTTTCTATTTTCCTTTTCTAACCAAATTAAGTCGACTCTAACTTCCAGCCTAGTTCTACTGACAAGCCGCTCTCTGGCACATAATTGACCGACAGAAGCGTCTTCGATTCTTTCGTCAATGGTTCGAGTTCACTTGGGCAAATTGCAACGTGGCTCGTTTGCCAAGCGCCCAAATCGTCCACGTATCCTCATTTATCCAATGACCTAACGCTGATGGGCAATTTATCAATCAAACCAATCGTCCAATCGCGTTAACCTTGTCGTCCATTGAACGAGTGCACCGTATAACGCTCGTTATTGGCCAGTTCCTGTGTTAGGCTTTGTCATAGGCTGATATCTCATGGAACGGAAAGCAGCAACAGCCACAGAGCCAGAGAGCCAGAGAGCCACATAGCCCAGGCACGACGCGTCCAAAGTATCGAGTGTCCCGACGGCAGGCAAACCCACGAGCACTCTCTAGCTGATGTCGTGACGTATCTTAAAATACATGTGGCTCAAGGACCCATCGCCGAGATTACTGTATTATTGTGTTGACTCGCTGACAATGAGATCTCGTAGAACACAGGTAGCCCGCAGGACGCGTTCGTTCAATTAATAATAATTATAACACGCTACAGATTTTAAATTTTCATTGCAACGAAGAAGAGACGCTACTCGTGCATCGATAAAACATAAAATAAACTTCAACGAATCCATTAAGCGCACCGTATTCGCGATCACATAAAAGATGCTGCGAAAATCTGCATTGCTTATTTCCATTAATTCCTTAAATGTTCTCGGCTCTCAGAAACGATTCCCATACCTCTATAATGTTTTCACATAGGAATAATTTTTCATTGAAAATAATTATGAAACTTACGGCAATCGTGGAAAATTATGGCATTTCCAAACGTAATATTTGGTTATACGTTATAATGATTCGTGAAAATACGTTAAAACTTAAGGCGCAGCACATTCGCTTATACATATAGTGCGATGGTAAATATGTTCCAAGTTGAAAATATACCAAGTACGTAATACTTAAATTTTCATCATTTTCGGTACGAATTGCACGCGAAAAATGAATGATAAATTGTCTTCGCGCGCGGAGGCTGTGGGGAACGAAACGCGTGGGACCGACCCGTTCCACGCGCACAGTGCGTGGGGGAGGCCAGTTGTATTATACTTTGACGAGTGCGCGGCGCAGGTGTCTCTTCTCGCGCACTCCGTCCTCCGCCCACGGCATCCGGCCGATTGTCTTGCTTTGCGATAATGTAATTTATATATAGTATTAAAAGAACACGCAACGAATGTTCGCTTTAAAATGGCAAAGACGAACAACCGATCAACTATATCGCAAGCAAGAGTTTCGTCGATCAGCCGATCGGAGAAAACGTGTCGCGTCAAGGAATAGCGAAAGGCAAGATCCAAGGTGAGAAAGTGATTGACTGATTAGAAGTCAGGGCTCTATAGGTAGTCCTGGGAATGTGCAGGGCATCGATTCCAAAGTGACAATCAGTATCCACGCGGGCACCATGACGTTACTGTCGACGCTCCTCAAAAATTTCTTGACAATGGTTCCCATGATTGCTTCGGAAGTTCGGAAGCATATATATGTTGTATGCTAGTATATATACTCTTCTCTAATAACAGTGCGCAATATCCAAGAAATTCCGAAATCCTACTCCTACTGCTGATTACCTACTAATTACCCAGAGAAATTGATAATCTAGACAGCTAGGCAGACTAGCGGCTGGTTCTAGTCAGCAGCCGGAATCGCAATAGCAGCTGCAACGTTTTATAGGATTCCTCGACTGTCACTAACCTACTGCGATCCGTGCGTGCGGAATTCTTCGAGCATGTAGGTAAGAGTCTGCCGCTCGACTAGACAGCCGTGTATAGTGCATAGTATGCGTGCGCGCGTAGTGAGAAAAAGTCTTGTGTATCGCAATAGAGAAGAGCTCGATCTAATCGGATCGTCGTCGTTGTAACTGTATCTTATCCGCGTTTACGTAATGTCACACAGAGCCTAGGAGGAACCGTTGCGGGTCTTGAACCCGACCCCGGAGGCTCCCATCTACATGGCCATCTACCCTCCAATAGCCAATCTTCCTCGATAAGTTCTCTGCGCCGAAATCTTTCATAAGAACAAATTTCCTCGAGTGGTACCACTGGAAGCAAGTACGACAGGAATAATAATATAACGAGATATACGCAGGCTTATTTGAAGTACTTGACCATTTGAAGAATAAGAGAAAGAAAATTAAGAAAATTATTAAAAAGCCACAATTTAGGGTAGACCAATTATGCCACTTGACATATGCGCATACCCTGTAACATGCGTTGCGAATCCACAGATCGCAATAAAATAAAAGACAAATTTTGTATACATGACAAAACGGTTTTTAAAGTAAAAAGGGAAGCAAAGAAGGACAAAGTGGAATTAACAGAATTAAGGGAATTCAAATTGTCAGTGACAAAAGCCCCCGTGGTGCCACGACCCTCGCGTCACCGGGAATCGTCTTCCATGCTGCTACCATGAAGACCATATCCGGACATACGTAATTCAACTAACTATATTTAGGTCAGAGGTACGTATATACGTATAGGTAGAGAAATATATGGGTAAAAATTTTTCAAACTCACGGAAACTCGACGCGTGCAAATGCACGAGGGTCTAGTACCGGGACAAAGAGGCAAACTACGAGGAGGAAGATCCTGAGGATTCGCAGCTCTCGAATCGGGATCGAAGGTCTACGTGTATGATCGAACAAGAGACTCTTGTACATTCATCAAATTGCTATCTCTTTGATTAGACATTACGTATAGGACTGAACGGCAGTTGATTTGCACAGGCCTTAGGGATTCATACGAGATCAAATTCGTTTGCTTCGTTGCGCCATCTCTTTCGCTTTTACCAACGGACATTCAAGGACCCGTAAGTGATTTGATTGGTAAGAAAGTCATTGCCCGTGAAATTTTTCTCGAAATATCGCTATCGTGCTCAGCCATAATTTTCAGCTTACGAGAGATTCGAGTAAAATGGTCCAGGAAGTATCCCTGCCCCCCTGTGAGACGTTGACGCCAACGATGAAACAGGATGTTCGCGTGTCTGGCTTTCGTGAATGTCGATCAATTGCGCTAACACGTAGAAAACGGGATAAGCGCCGGAAATGGAAGCCGATGTGCGCCAACCTAATCGTACAAGGGAACAAGAAGAAAGTATAAAAATAAATATGCTAAATAAGCACTATCGTAGGGATAAAGTTGAACCGAGGCCAAAGTGACACGCGTGTCCCACGCGACTTCCACTCCACTCTGGAGAAACTCCCCCATCAGCCGCTCTCAATAATCTCCACGTCTCCTGCTTCTTGGCTCAACGGCCTTTCTCCACACGTCGCCAAGAGAGGCTTCACACGCCTTCGGAGCATTAATGCCGACCCACGTGCACACGATATCAAATGAATTACGGTATCTCGGGACCAGTCGCGCGCGACTCTCTTTAGCCGGTTCAATCATCAAGATAACTCACTGTCGTCTTAAAACCCAAGCCCTCGATCCGTCCACTTTCCGCCTTTCCGCCTCGATCCCTACGATAGTATACGCTAGGTAATTTCGAGCCATATAGGTGTAACATACGCGCTACGCCGTCTCCCGGCTGCCAGTTGACTTGGCCACTAACCGAATGCTTTCCATTCGCTTCCTATTAGCTTCGATCTGCACTGCCTTATGCCTTAGACACTGCGCTTGGCTACCGCTGGACAGCCAATTCCCGCTATTTGGCTGCGAGTTCGTAGCCTAAAGGGCACTGTGCGCGGTTCACTACTGGGGCTGAGCTCCTGCGCACTCACGTAAGCGACAACTGGTTACTACTAAAACCTGGTAAAAAAATGGAGTTCCCAGACGATAAATTATACATTGAAATATCTTTCAGGTGTCTCCTTCGGAGATTCACTCAGGAGGCCTACTTCCGGCCGCACCCCGAAGCTGGGTTGCCATCTATAAATAACTATTCCACTGTTTAGAGGCAGCGATAGTACAGCCAAGATTGGAAAGAAG